TGTATCTAAGTACAAAGGCCAATAGTCATGTTCTGAGGTTGTCGATGCTGGTGGCTCGGAAATAGATTCGGTTAATCAATTATCTTTTACCTGCTATGAATTATCTTACCTAACTTTGCCGGCGGAACTATACAACAGATGAGGACATGGGGTGTCTAACAAATATACAGAGAAGTACAAAAGTGACTACGACTTCTTTTCGTGACCAAGTCATTGGTAAAAATCTTTTCAATTTCCTACCTCGTTTAGTTTATGCTCCGAAGAAGAAAAGAAATCAAATCAAAAGTATCAAAATTCTCCTCAATTACGAGCGAAGTGGCAACTCCAAACTGACGAGATTGGGTCCAAACACGCCTGAGTAGTTGTATAGAACGCCCTCTGGCGGCTTCCCCCGTCTAAACAACATGGCGACATGAACCTGCCTTCTGATCAGTCTGTCGCGGAAGAGAATAAATACCCAGCGGCCTGTCTTGTACAGACCATCCTAGGCTTGTGGAGAGCTGGACCACAGGGTCTGTCTAATATAAGGACAATCTAAGGGAGAAGAAACGTGGTACAACGGGTCTGTCTTGTACATATCATCAGGGAAGGGGATATGGTATGACGGATGCGTCTTGTACAGATCATCAGAGAAGGTGGTACCACGGGTCTGTCTTGTAGAGATCATCACATAAGGAAAGGTGGTACCACGGGTCTGTCTTGTAGAGATCATCACATAAGGCAAGGAGGTATACGGGTCTGTCTTGTACAGATCATCACATAAGGAAATGTGGTAACACGGGTCTGTCTTGTACAGATCATCACATAAGGAAAGGTGGTACCACGGGTCTGTCTTGTACAGATCATCACATAAGGAAAGGTGGTACCACGGGTCTGTCTTGTACAGATCATCACATAAGGAAAGGTGGCACCACGGGCTGTCTTGAGGAGATCATCACATGAGGAAAGGTGGTACCACGGGCCTGTCTTGTACATGTCATCAGGGAAGGATAGGTGGTACCATGGGTCTGTCGTGTCATATCATCAAGGAAGGAAAGGTGGTACCATGGGTCTGTCTTGTACATATCATCAGGGAAGGATAGATGGTACCACGGGTCTGTCTTGTACAGATCATCACATAAGGAAAGGTGGTACCACGGGTCTGTCTTGTACAGATCATCACATAAGGAAAGGAGGTACACGGGTCTGTCTTGTACAGATAATCACAAAAGGAAAGGTGGTACCACGGGTCTGTCTTGTAGAGATCATCACATACGGAAAGGAGGTACCATGGGTCTGTCTTGTACAGATCATCACGTAAGGAAAGGTGGTACCATGGGTCTGTCTTGTACATTTCATCAGGGAAGGATAGGTGGTACCGTGGGTCTGTCGTGTCATATCATCAAGGAAGGAAAGGTAGCTGTCTTGCACATATCATCAGGGAAGGATAGGTGGTACCACGGGTCTGTCGTGTACACATCATCACATAAGGAAAGGTGGTACCACGGGTCTGTCTTGTACAGATCATGACATAAGGAAAGGTGGTACCACGGGTCTGCCTTGTATATGTCATCAGGGAAGGATAGGTGGCACCATGGGTCTGTTGTGTACATATCATTAGGGAAGGAAAGGTGGCACTATGGGTCTGTCTTGTACATATCATTAGGGAAGGAAAGGTGGCACTATGGGTCTGTCTTGTACATATCATTAGGGAAGGAAAGGTGGTACCATGGGTCTGTCGTGTCATATCATCAGGGAAGGGAACATGGTAACATAGGTATGTCTTGTACATAACATTAGGGAAGGATGGGTGGTACCATGGGTCTGTCTTGTACATATCATTAGGGAAGGAAAGGTGGTACCATTGGTCTGTCGTGTAGATATCATTAGGGAAGGAACGGTGGCATCATGGGTCTGTCTTGTACATATCATTAGGGAAGGAAACATGGTACCATTGGTCTGTCTTGTACAGATCATCAGGGAAGGAAAGGTGGTACCATGGGTCTGCTGTGTACATATCATTAGGGGAGGAAAGGTGGTACCATGGGTCTGTCGTGTTATCATCAGGGAAGGGAACATGGTACCATAGGTATGTCTTGTACATATCATCAGGGAAGGATTGGTGGCACCATGGGTCTGTCTTGTACATATCATTAGGGAAGGAAAGGTGGTACCACGGGTCTGTCGTGTACATATCATTAGGGAAGGAAAGGTGGTACCATGGGTCTGTCGTGTAGATATCATTAGGGAAGGAACGGTGGCATCATGGGTCTGTCTTGTACATATCATTAGGGAAGGAAACATGGTACCATTGGTCTGTCTTGTACAGATCATCAGGGAAGGAAAGGTGGTACCATGGGTCTGCTGTGTACATACCATTAGGGGAGGAAAGGTGGTACCATGGGTCTGTCGTGTTATATCATCAGGGAAGGGAACATGGTACCAAAGGTATGTCTTGTACATATCATCAGGGAAGGAATGGTGGCACCATGGGTCTGTCTTGTACATATCATTAGGGAAGGAACGGTGGCATCATGGGTCTGTCTTGTACATATCATTAGGGAAGGTAACATGGTACCATTGGTCTGTCTTGTACATATCATCAGGGAAGGAAAGGTGGTACCATGGGTCTCTCGTGTACATATCATTAGGGAAGGAACGGTGGCATCATGGGTCTGTCATGTACATATCATTAGGGAAGTTAACATGGTACCATTGGTCTGTCTTGTACATATCATCAGGGAAGGAAAGGTGGTACCATGGGTCTCTCGTGTACATATCATTAGGGAAGGAACGGTGGCATCATGGGTCTGTCTTGTACATATCATTAGGGAAGGTAACATGGTACCATTGGTCTGTCTTGTACAGATCATCAGGGAAGGAAAGGTGGTACCATGGGTCTGCTGTGTACATATCATTAGGGGAGGAAAGGTGGTACCATGGGTCTGTCGTGTTATCATCAGGGAAGGGAACATGGTACCATAGGTATGTCTTGTACATATCATCAGGGAAGGATTGGTGGCACCATGGGTCTGTCTTGTACATATCATTAGGGAAGGAAAGGTGGTACCATGGGTCTGTCGTGTACATATCATTAGGGAAGGAAAGGTGGTACCATGGGTCTGTCGTGTAGATATCATTAGGGAAGGAAAGGTGGTACCATGGGTCTGTCGTGTAGATATCATTAGGGAAGGAACGGTGGCATCATGGGTCTGTCTTGTACATATCATTAGGAAAGGAAACATGGTACCATTGGTCTGTCTTGTACAGATCATCAGGGAAGGAAAGGTGGTACCATGGGTCAGCTGTGTACATATCATTAGGGGAGGAAAGGTGGTACCATGGGTCTGTCGTGTTATATCATCAGGGAAGGGAACATGGTACCATAGGTATGTCTTGTACATATCATCAGGGAAGGATTGGTGGCACCATGGGTCTGTCTTGTACATATCATTAGGGAAGGAACGGTGGCATCATGGGTCTGTCTTGTACATATCATTAGGGAAGGTAACATGGTACCATTGGTCTGTCTTGTACATATCATCAGGGAAGGAAAGGTGGTACCATGGGTCTCTCGTGTACATATCATTAGGGAAGGAACGGTGGCATCATGGGTCTGTCTTGTACATATCATTAGGGAAGGTAACATGGTACCATTGGTCTGTCTTGTACATATCATCAGGGAAGGGAACGGTGGCACCATGGGTCTGTCGTGTCATATCATAAGGGAAGTAAAGGTGGTACTATGGGTCTGTCTTGTACATATCATAAGGGAAGTAAAGGTGGTACCATGGGTCTGTCGTGTACATATCATCACATAAGGAAAGGAGGTACACGGGTCTGTCTTGTACATATCATTAGGGAATGGAGAATGGTACCATAGGTCTGTCTTGTACATATCATCAGGGAAGGAAAGGTGGTACCATGGGTCTGTCTTGTACATATCATCACATAAGGAAAGGAGGTACCATGGGTCTGTCTTGTAGAGATCATCACATAAGGAAAGGTGGTACCACGGGTCTGTCTTGTAGAGATCATCACATAAGGCAAGGAGGTATACGGGTCTGTCTTGTACATATCATCAGGGAAGGATAGGTGGTACCACGGGTCTGTCGTGTACAGATCATCACATAAGGAAAAGTGGTACCACGTGTCAGTCTTGTACAGATCATCACATAGAGAAAGGTGGTCCCACGGGTCTGTCTTGTACAGATCATCACATAGGGAAAGGTGGTCCCACGGGTCTGTCTTGTACAGATCATCACATAAGGAAAGGAGGTACACGGGTCTGTCTTGTAGAGATCATCACATAAGGCAAGGAGGTATACGGGTCTGTCTTGTACATATCATCACATAAGGAAAGGTGGTACCACGGGTCTGTCTTGTAGAGATCATCACATAAGGCAAGGAGGTATACGGGTCTGTCTTGTACATATCATCACATAAGGAAAAGTGGTACCACGTGTCAGTCTTGTACAGATCATCACATAGGGAAAGGTGGTCCCACCGGTCTGTCTTGTAGATATCATCACATAAGGAAAGGTGGTCCCATGGGCCATTCGTGTACATATCATCAGGGAAGGGAATATGGTATCATGGGTCTGTCTTGTATATGTCATCAGGGAAGGAAAGGTGGTACCATGGGTTTGTCTTGTACATGTCATCAGGGAAGGATAGGTGGTACCATGGGTCTGTCGTGTCATATCATCAAGGAAAGAAAGGTGGTACCAATGGCCTGTCTTGTACATATCATCAGGGAAGGGAGTATGGTACCACGGGTCTTGTACGTGAAAATAAGGTTAGGATGAAACATATAACACAGCGCACACATGATATCTAGCGTAGTGTAGAACTGAGACAAGAATGAAATAATGGACAGGGAAATGATTGAAGAAGACCCTGGAAGCAACAGAGCACGAGTAGAGAGAAGGGTCTGGGGTAGGGGTGGGGGTTGGATGTACTAAGGCGTGGCTTGTGGAGAGTGTGCGGTGAAGGTGAGAGACAGGTGGATGTCTGTAGACATGTCGGTTCCTGGGTGCCTGGATAACGGTCTGGGAGGAGACTGTTTCAGGATCTGTATCATCAAGCCAATAGTAAACACGCCACGGGTGTGTATGAGATAGGGTGCAGCTAACGCCACGTGGGAAAAGTGGAACTTTATCTGTTATTATTACTGTTCCGTATTGACTATATGTATATGTATATTTACTTTGTTGATAGGAATTCGCTTGCACGGAAACTGCATCGATGTTATTTTTTCTTTGACGTCTGGTAGAACATACATAATTGATACCAGGTATTATGTTCTGTTCTGATTAATGATATCATGCCTCAAAGCAAAAAGAAAACATAACACCCATTTGGTTTGTTCTGTATACACGCTACATCTACAACTCAAACAACCCCCTCATTCACGACAACAACAACCCCTTCATCTTCGACAACAACGCTCTCATCTACAACAACAACCCCCTCAATAACAACCATACCCTCATCTACGACAACAACAACGCCCTCATCTAAACCAACCACGCTATCATTTATGACAAGGACAACCACCTCATCCACTACTACAACGACAACACCCCCACCTACAAAACCAACACCCTCATCCACAACAACAACAGCACTCTCATCTACGACAACAACCACCTCATCCACATCAACTCCCTCATCTACACCAACCACACCCTCATCTACGACAACAACCACCTCGTCTTACAACAACAACCCCCTCATATACAACATCCTCGTGTACAACACACCACATCCTCATCTACGATAACGCCCCGTCATCCACAACAACTACGTCGCCCTCATCTACGAGAACAGCCTGAACTACGACAACCTCAACAACACCCTCATCTACGACAACAACAACACCCTAATCTACGACAACAACAACCTCCTCACTGTATGTCACATTTACGACACCAACAACCCTCTTATCTACGAAAACAAACCCCTCAACCACGACAGCAACACCCCCATATCCAATAGCACCCTCATCTAACACAACAATCCCTCAACGACGACAACAACATCACCCTCATCTACGACAACAGCCTGGTCTACGACAACCTCAACATCGCATTCATCTACGACAACAACAACACCCTCAACCACGACAACAACACCCCCATATCCAACAACACCCACATCTACGACAACAATTTTTATCCCCTCAACTACCTCCTCCGTCATCCACAATAACAACCCTCACATTTTCAACAACAACACCCTTATCTACGACAACAGTCACCTTACTGTATGCAACATCTACTGCACACTCTCACTGTATGCCACATCTATTGCATTCACAGCAGCCCCCATCACCGAATGTAACATCAACTGCAGCCACATCCACCCTTTCACAACAATACCTCAAGTGTCCCTGTGTACCCCACAATCAGATAGTGACGAAATCAGATGAGGCCTTGCTGAAGGCTTTGAGCTAATATCTATGAGAGTAAAGCCTTCCCGTGCATAGTCATATTATTAAATTATTATAAATTATTAAACGATCTCCCCGGCTGTCTGTGAAGTGACTGTGGATGTCTGAAAGTAACTATAGTATACGAACTTTCCTGGACAGCTACATATTACACCTCATAACAAGCACAATCAAGGACATATGGCTCGATGTGTTTTTCTAGAACAAGCGTCGTGTTCCAGCCTCAATGCCTCAGCATTGTCTTCCCCCGTCAATATTCACTTGCATTCCCCTTCAATATATAAGGCCGCGTTCCCATTCCATATAAATTTATGTTTCCCCTACATATAAACATAAGTTCCCCTTCCATATAAACCCATATTACCTACACACAATAATTCAATGTTATCCTTACATGTAAAGCTTGTGTTCCCATCATAAATCAATGTTACCCCTGCATATAATTCTATAGTATCCTGAGCTATAAAACTGTTTCCAATGCATATGTGGTTGAGGCGTTTCATGTAATCTAATTTTCCTTATGATTATAAAACTATGTTCCCCTCACATTTAAATCCACGTCACGCCTACACATGAATCCACGTTTCCCTTACCTGTAAAGTTATGGTACCCTCATGCATAAATCTATGTTCTTCTGTGTTCCTCTTATATAGAAAACTATTTTCCCCTTACATATAGATATGTGACCCTTACATATAACTACATGTTACCCCTAAATATACATCCATGTTTCCCTTACATATATATGTCACCCTCACATTTAAATCTTTGTTATCCCAACATATAGATCTATGTCATCCTCACATATAACTGTATGTTACCCTTACATTTAAATCCATGTTACCCTTATATTTAAATCTATGTCACCCTTACATATGAATCTATGTCACCCTTACATATGAATCCCTTACATGTGAATCTATGTCACCCTTACATATGAATCTATGTCACCCTTACATATGAATCTATGTCACCCTTACATATGAATCTATGTTTCCCTTACATGTGAATCTATGTCACCCTTACATATGAATCTATGTCACCCTTACATTTGAATCTATGTCACCCTTACATATGAATCTATGTCACCCTTACATATGAATCTATGTTTCCCTTACATATGAATCCATGTTTCCCTTACATGTGAATCTATGTCACCCTTACATATGAATCTATGTCACCCTTACATATGAATCTATGTCACCCTTACATGTGAATCTATGTCACCCTTACATATGAATCTATGTCACCCTTACATGTGAATCTATGTCACCCTTACATATGAATCTATGTCACCCTTACATATGAATCTATGTCACCCTTAAATATAAATGTGCGTTCCCCTAACCTATGACTCTTTGTTCCACTAACAGACAAATTTATGTTCCCCTTACATATAAATCTGTGTTCCCATTGCAATTAAATCTATGTCACCCCTGCATACAAATCTATGTTCCCCTTAGATTTAAATCTATGTCACTCCTACATACAAATCTACGTTCCCCTTACATTGAAATCTATGTCAGCCTTACATATAAATACATTAATTTGTTGCGAATATTCACCACTATGGAATCCTTGGCCTTAGGGTCCTTTTGACAGCAACAAACAAAGCAGAGAATCATACAAATATACTGCCGGACAAGAAAAAGAATACATCCGTGTTTGATGGTGGCTAAGAATGAAACAAACAAGAAATTGTTGGTTATTCGATGGTGATGGATTTGATATGGGTATCACAGTTGGGTTTTTGGACCTTAATTTTGCAGTGTTTCGAGGGACTGTTTTCAGCCTAGTGACGTGTTGATAACGTTTGTATTGTTTAGGTCCAGTCCAATTTTCAACTGTATACTTTCTTTTGTATATATTTCTTCGATCCATCTAACGGGATCGGGTGGTCAGGCTCGCTGACTTGGTTGGTGCATGTCATCGCATCCCAATTGCGTGGATCGATGCTCAAGATATTAATCACTGGATTGTCTGGTCCAGACTCGATTATTTACAGACCGCCGTCATATAGATGGAATATTGCTGAGTGTGGCGTTAAACAAAAAAACAAAAAACAAACATGGATGTCGGATGCTGATGGTTGAAACCCATTCTATTATGTGCAATGTGCCTTTTCTCACATGTAAGGTACATATCTGTTGCCCGGTCGAATTGCCAAACTGGTGGCATTACATTTACAACATGCCAACCACAATATTGTATTTCGAATTAATTATGTAAGACGCCATTCTCCAGATATTAAAGATACTTTCCGAATGAAATAGACCTATGGGGAATAACTCAAAGTTAAGCATTTATAGCAAACGACAGAAAACTAAATGTGGTATTCTTACCGATTCGGACCAAAGCCAGCATGCATAAGACATACTTGCACTATAATTAGGTGTACGGTAGGATACATTCGTTGCCCACCGATCCCGGGGGAGGATGGGTTGATGTACCATGTATGATGGTCTTCGTAAGACGAATATAAATGAATTTAGTGCTCGGGGAACGTAAACTGACATAGCGAGTATATCAACACACGCACCCTGTAGGATTTATGATTTATGATTCATGTACCCTTTATGTAAGTTTATGTTCCCCGAGACCGAAGATGAACACATATACATATATGTAAGTTAAACAAAGACTGATACGTAAGGTGGACAAAGACAAAGACAAGGATTTCAATGTAAAGGGAACATATTTATATGTAAGGGTAACATAGATTAATATGTGAGGGGAACATAGATTTAAATACAATTGTAACAAAGAGTTAAATGTGAGGGGAACATAGATTGATATGTAAGGGGAATATAGATTGGTGTGGAAGAACATTGATGTATATGTAGGGATAAAAAATATTTAAGATGACGTCATTATCCCAAGGATCCCAAGGATCCCAAGGATCTTATATTGGTAAATATTTGCAAATAATTAAAGAATTAAAAATGAAAAATAAACAATTAATAACATAAGAAGAATATGGGCAATGATAATCGGCGGCATTGGGACATCCGAGTGAATCGCCTGCTTGTATTGCAGTGGCAAGTCAATCATTGTGTGGAATAGATGGTTGGTTCACGTCATGCAACGTGACAATTGCCCCATGTAGGCTGAACATAAGCAGTATGCTGACTGGTGGAGCTATGTAATAACTTGTTCCGCAGTTATGATTCCAGGTACACCTGAACGTGGTGGGCCTATTGGTTGCAAGTCTATCTGGCAATATGTTAAAACGTGAACACTCCTGTTACCTCCCTCGGCTATGAAATGGCCCCATTTGAAGACAATGTTAAAACAGACAAATCTAACTGTTTAACACCCATGGCAACTGCTAGTTATTTCTGCAGATGTTTTAAGATTATCTTCATGTTTTTTATCTAGATTTTTGTTGACTGGCGGCAGACGTCGTAATTATATTTGTTTACACCGGGTCCTTCGCGATCTCTGATTGAAAATTACGACAACCATAAGTGGGGTCGACCAAGTTCATTTGCGAACAAGGGTAGCTCATTTTCACGTCGATGTAGGCCTCATGTCGCCAGAATGCGCTAAGCTTTTTACCTTGTCGGAATAAAGAGAAGATTTTTCTGATTTTGAAGCTGTCTTAAAGGTTCAACAGATGAACAGTTATGGAATTCTGCATCCGCTTTCTCAGTGTCAGTTTCGGTGAGAGATATTGTCAAAGTAAATTAAGCATGCCAAACACATATGTTTCACTGAAGACACCTATACAATAATTCTCTTACTCAACATTTATTTTGATTTCCATGTAGTTTATTTACATATATTCTGACTAGAAAGCAGGTGATGTTATTTTTTCAAACAGCAATTAAGAAGTAAAAGCGTAAGTCTGTTTTGATGGCATTATTCGGATGAAAGTTGTTTATGGAGACGGTTAATATCACTATAGTTGAACACGGAAATTAATTACACTTGGCTTATAACGTTAGCGTTTGAAATGCGAAGTGTGGTATTATAACTGAATGACTCACCACAAATGACTCCAGCTAAGGGTAAAATTAGGATGCATGTATTAACATGACGCAGGTCTGTAAACCTCTTATACGAAACACCTTTATTACATTACCAAAATACATTGTCAAATGTATCTAGGTGAAATCGTAAGTTCACTGGTTCCCGGGCTATGCGCTGAACAAGTCTGTGCGCCTGTTTATACGGCTAAGTGCCTGTTCACGTCTACGTTACAGCTCAAGTGCTCAGTTCAGGTCTACCATATGACGCTCAAGTATGACAATGATTAATTAGGACATGTACAGCCATGCCGATGCCGAGTGTTATGAATGAACAACGCCGGCGTAAGGGTCTAATCCAAGTGGTCATTAGTGGTCGCAGAGAAACAAAGGGTCAAGTATTCCTGCTCAATACTGACCGAGAGTTGCTGTATGGATAGCGTGGTTTGACACATGTCGATCTTCAGCTCATCTAAAGCTAATATTTCATCACTGAACCCTCTCGAAATGAAGCCTTGTTATTTCATTGGTTATGTTTTATAAACAACGATCTTATTTGTTTCGGACTTTTCCATCTTTTGCGTAAAGGGACCTGAAGTGCTTTGGCACAGTGGAGATTAATAGGGGATGCATCACGAGTTGACTGTCATAAGAATTCTTTGGTTCCGTTGTCTGTGCAAATCGGTCACGAATGTAGTTGAAGTAGATTTGTAATAATAAAATGTCACTTTTACGTCATCCTGGGAAAAGAATATCAATTATTAAATGCATTTCAAC